ACAGACACACTGACTGGACACTACAGTAAATCACTGCACTGAGATAGAGGTGATTAGTTTTATTTAGATACTTTTTATCAATAGCTAAATGTTATTACAAACAACCAACAACAACAAGTCTCTGTGGCCTGAAACTGTGGACTCATGGAATTGGCTCTCATACCATTGTGTGCTGGGCTACAGAACTGTCATATATAGTTTGGAAGAAGACACCCGCTGGAAGAGGCTGTGAGCCCCTGAGACACATTTAGAGACAGGGAGTGTGGGAGTCTGTAACACACTGGAATCCACAGAGAAGAGCCTTTAAAAATGTGCACAGGAGGCACAAAAGGCTGTGGGAGTGTGGAATAAGCTGCCCAGCCCTGATGTTGAAGCCAATACCCTGACTTCTTTTAACAGACAACTGGATGAGGTCCTGGAATCCATTAACTACTAACTACTTCATGGGCTAGACGGGCTAATCTCTTTTAATATAATCACAGAAACTGATAAAAGAAAATGGAACAGGACATTTGGAGGCAATATCTGAAAAGAGACACCCTGCTGTGTATGAAATCCTGGGGCTAATTGATCCAAGGTTCTCATCTGTCCGTTTCTTGAAAGAATGCAGGGTATTTTCTTCAACAACATGGCTGGGCAGCTCGTTCCACACCCCCACCGTGCTTTGTGTAAAGAAGCACCTCCTGAGCTCATATTGAAATACCTTTCCAAAGGGATTTGTGCTCTAGTGTGCAAAGCACCCTGAACTACAGTTCTTGCAGGCCTGCACGTTTACACGGTGACCAGAGACCATACCGCTCTCGGGGCAGACGGGTTTGCGTTAGTTCTCCCAGAGAGGGCTTTGAAAGAGAGTTTACTCGTCCGGACAACACCGACACGAGCCTCTGTCACGTCGCGTTTTCTGTGACGCACCGGGGAGCAGGCTGCAGCGGGCCCCTGTGTGACGTCACCACGTGATCCGGAAACCGCAGGAAGCGTGTGAGCTGTGAACGTTACTGGTAAAACGGCACCTTCTTTCGAGGAGCGGCTGGGCTGTGCCTGCCATCAGGCCAGTTAACCGTCACGGATTAAAGCTCTTCCTTACTAA